GAGGTTTGCCTCCTCTCTCCTACAGTCCATGAACCCATCGCACTTAAAACTGCTGTTCCTTATAAAAGATAGGTGCTACAGCAGTCGACAGATGGCAACCGTCTATAATCACAGGATAACATAGACACAGGCCGGTGTCTATGTTATCCCTCCTCTCTCCTGACACTATCGGGCTCTTGGTCCATGACCGAGTGCCCGACTTTTTAGAGCGGGTGACACCAAAATGGCTGTCAGTCATTTTGGTGTCACCCCGCCAATGGTGTCACCCGGGTGCGAGCCGCACCCCCCTTGTGAAGCCACTGTTCCTGTTGTGTCTACAGGACAGGAAGTGAAATTGTGAAATGAAATCAACTCAATAGGACACACAGAAAAAAAGAAAACTTTAAGCAGCAACCTGTAGTCTCTCTTTTTTGTGTGCTACAAATGCTTCTGTGACAGTGAATATTTGCTGGCTGCTTAAAGGGTAAATCCACCCAAAAGAAGGTATTAAGGTAGAGGCTTCTGTATGCGTCTGCGTATGGCTTGTTTGTTTGGTTTTCGTGTTTTACTTCCTGCTCTGTTAGTGCGGAGACTGTTTCCTTTTCTTTTTTCCACTAGCTTGGATAATGTATTCTTATGTGTAAAATGGTCCTGCTATATTGTACTTCAGTCATTGTGTATGTATGTTTTGTTACTCTTTTAAAACCTCAAAATAAACTCCTTTTTTCACAAAATGTAGAGACTAATAGAGTGAATATCCATCGTCCTCCCATCCTTCCCTCTATCAGATATATCCCACCCTGGGTAATTTAACTCTCCAGCATCTACCATTTAAAGCCCAATTCCAGCTTTAAAAAAATAATAAAGCTGAACTTTGGGCTCCACCTAGGTCCCCAAAACACATACTTTCCCTCTCCCTCACACATGTGACTTTCCAGTCTTGTATCTACTTATATGCAAAGAAGGAGGGTCCTTTTTTCGGAGTCCATATCAGTGCCTTCATGACATAGACACTTCCTATTGGCTGCCCAGTGCCAGGGTCCTCCCAGGATCTAGAAAAGGATGGTGTCAGCAAAGGGGAGCAGTGGTGACTGGCCTGTGCCAGTGCTTCTGCGGTGCTGCATTACTGGCCCCCCTCCACCTGGAAATGGAGAACATGGATGGAAGACTTTAGGTGAGTATAAGTTGCTTCAAAAGGTGAAAAAGGAGCTATCGCTGCCATACCCGCCCTGTCACCGATACTGTTCCCCACTTCAGTGCCGGTCCTCTTTTGGGTTAAATGATATGACTGAACAAAAGAATGTATTTACACATGTAATTAGAAAATATTAATAAAAGTGGGTGTAGCTCCAAGGAGTTGGGGAGGGGGGGAGGGGGCAACAGGCAAGGAAGGGAGGGGAACCCATCCCACAGTTGGCCTTTTTTGTATTACTTTATAGAGAACAGGCTATAGGCACATACTAATGAAGGTATATAGGCATATTTTTTTATATTTTAAAAAGACTAATTTTTATGTGCTTTAAAGATTTCCCAAATTATCCCTTTCTTTCTGATAAGTAGTCCTGGATATGTGTTACTTCAGGTTATTTAGTTAGGCTGCATTAAGACGGGCGATATGGAGCGGAGAGCTTGATGAGTTCAGAAACTCTGCAGAAACAACGTTTCTAAACTTAACATGCCTAGGGTCAGTCAGAGGTTCTATTTGCATGTAACTGCTCGGTAGAATGGTTACATGCGAACAGCTGTGGCACTGGCCATTGATTTATACATAGTACAAATCTGACAGCTGCCAATGCTGGCCACAGTTGTTCTCACACACTGTGTGCATCCAGCCTTTAGCTCCGCTGGCAGGAATCACTAAATTCTTACCAGAAGCCGCCCCCAGGCCACTCGTGTGAGTGGGGCCTTGCAGATCAGGTCTGTCCTTACATGTTATAACTTTGTCTTTATTAGCTACAAATTGTGTGTGTTGTAAAGTAGCCACCGCTTCAAGCTTGCTCCCGTGATAGACTATAACTCTAATACAAATGAGCTAACTAAATGTGAGATTTTAGTCCATCACGGGAGTGAGCTTGGCGCGGTGTTTACTTTACAACACACAGGGACCATGGGGAACAGAAGGAAGGACAGTGTCAGCGGGAATTCAGAGATGATTTGAGGATCTACAGCTGGATGATACACAAATAAGTTAAATTTTTGTTAATAGTTAGGGTACATGAATGCATTTTTAAGATTTAACTCCTGAGTTTAGTGTCACTTTAAACAAATGTGTAAAGACCAGTGTTTGCGGAGCTGATGGGATAAAACTGAAGGACCAGATTCCAGCCTGCACATACCCATCAAATTCAAAGTAAAAAGCATAGTTTATATCAGTGCACTTGCATACAACATAATATATAAAAATAGTTTTGTGGAATAGAATTATAACCTATAGGACATTATAGGGTTTTTTATACGCCAAGCTTGCTCTGTGTTCTTCCCCACTCATGCACCTTTTATTTGTGAACTGTGTAGTTCAAAGGAAAGGGAACAATTTAGAAAACACTACAGCTCAGGATGGGAAAGTGACTGCACAGATAACGTTAGAACTAAAGATGTAGACAAAAGTAAAGAAATAAACCTTCAGATTTTTCTCAGAGATTGATAAAATATGACTCACATGTCACCAATACTTAAGCCTTCTCCATCAAGTTGATTTTCAAGTACGATTCACTTGAGAATAGCAGATAAACCTCTCAAAACAAACCTGTGCTTTTTCCATTCCGGACAAAGCAACAGGCTTGCTTTAATCCCCTATCCCTAGTAGTACATATAGTACTTACCTTTCCTTTCACTCCCTTACTGCTTCTTTCCTGAAGCTAAAGGATGCACCGGACTTCCAAATAGGTAAGCATGTGATTCACATATGACCATGCTGGGCCAGTCAGCCCTGTTACAAAGGAGTGAGCGTGAGCTACAACTATGGCGACTATAAGCTCACCCAAGGCTTAGCCATGTTCTACTCATTACATACTAAGGCTCTTTCCAGCTGTCTGGTGCTACACAATGATTGTGCTTTACAACTCCTTCTCACAATGTAATTATATGTGTCAGTCAACTACTAAAACAGAGCACCCCTGTGCGACGGATATAATATTTCAAGATGTTATGCAGGAAGCACAGACTAAACCCCTGAGACCATTCTCTAGTGGCTAGTTTATTTATATATGTATGAAAACAATAACTAACATTAAAAAAACATTTAAACTCGTTTTTTTGTTGTCCAAAAAGAAAAAAAAAAAAGAAAAAAAAAACATTTAAATATGTGAACATAAAAAAAATACTTTATTGCCATTTCACACAAGATTCTGATTGAATGCAAGTAGAAAAATAGAAAATCTTGAATGAAAGTTGTGTAAAATATTTTTAAACAGACCCCTATCTTTTCCTTTTAATTTACAGTAACAACAATTTTGGAACTACCCATACAGGGCAGATCAGTTTTAAAGGCTAGTTCTACCTTTTATTCCATGTTCCACCCATATTCAGGGTGGAACATGGAACATGGGGCCATTCTGCAGCCCTCACATTCTTTCTGTATTCACAGGTCCACATGAACTGTGAATTGAAAGACTAGCATGGCAGACACACTTGTGTTACTTAATGGAACACAACTGTGGTGATGTCACCGCACTGTTTTTTCTTTCATGAATGTGTGTGTTTATTGTTTTATTTTTGAGGTGGTCTACCCCTTTAAAACAATGTAGCCTGTATTATTTTTATTAATATTTTTTATTATTATTATTATTATTATATAGAGCCAACAGTTTGTGCAGGGCTTTACAATATAGAGGGAGACAGTACAGTTACAATACAATTCAAGACCAGATGGTTAAGAGGACCCTGCTCGTGAGAGCTTACAATCTAAAAGATAAGGTTGAGTGATACAAAAAAGTGGTAACTGTGCAATATTTGATACATGCTGAGTAAAATTCTTCAATATAGGGCACAGAAACCAATGCACTGGAGAAGGAGCCTCTCTAATAGAAATAAAGGCTTATTTTTTAATGAGTACTCTGTTCCCATACATTTTTGATGGGTTTACAGAAAATCCTACAATTTATGCCTTATATGTATACAATTTATATCAAGTTTACAGCAGAACTCCGGGCAAAACACTTATTAACCCATGCAGTGGGGCTACCCCTGCACTGCAAGGGTTAACTGCTAATTTTTGTCTAGGGACTAAAATAAAAACGTTATATTCACCTGATCCTCTGAGCTGGCTTGTTGTTAGACTGGCCCTTTCAATGTCTCTCCCCCTTCACTGCAGCGGTCTAAGGTCCTGTGAGTCATCATATACACATGGTATAGGACATGAGGACGCCAAGAGACAAACCATCTCTGCAGCATAGGTGAAGAGAGACTGGAGGGAGTGCTGTGGCCGACTCCGGGGCTCGGGTGAGTATAACTTTTTTATTTTAGTCCCTAAAGGAAAACGAGCACTTAACCCTTGCAGTGGGGGGGGGCAGCCCCACTGCAAGGTTTAATAAAGATGTTTTCTGAAGTTGTTCTTTATCAAAACTGTAAGTTTCCTTTAAACCAGAAAAACTCTTTGGAATAAAGAGGCAAAATTAAAAAATGCCCTTTGGATCTAAGCTCTGTCCGTCTCTTTCATTATGTTTGGATTATGCATTTCACTTCATACAGCTTCTGTAGAAAAGCAATAAGCACAGTTTTGTTTCTTCCTGGGAATCAAACGGAATCTGGAGAGAGATCTCAGAACAAATACAGCAGATTTTCATACCACAAAGCCCATATTATGTAAACAGCCTTGTTCTGAGAATCATTTTTTTGTAGCTCATTTGTTGGCCTGACTCCCTAAGCGGTGTTTATCAGCCAGGGAAACAGTATTCTTAGGAAATATAAACACCTGGTACAATTTGGCCTCTGCTGCGTCCTGCCTGGATACTTAATAAATGGCATGTGTACAGTCTCCAGACATGTAAATATGCTAACACTGGGATTACTCTTTTAAACAGATTCCGTGGAGAGCCTTTCTCATACCAACTCCTCCGTCCAAGCATCTCCAGCAGTCTCCACTCACACGTCAAGAATCACAGACCCTTCTTACTCCGTGGACAGCTCAGTTGCTGATACCTCAACAGAAGAGAACCGGAGTGAATCGGATTCAGCCTTCATCCCCGACTATCTGTTTTTGTCAAATTGTGAGAGTGGGAAAGTAAATACCACCAGGTATGTGAGCCAGACATTCTGTGTAAACATGGCAGGACAGAAGATAAATGGAACACTTCTCACCATCATTCCAAATTTGTATATGCAGTGTTAAAAAAAAAAAGTTCTGCTTAAAGAACAAATTTGTGTTCTGATATGAGGCTTTGCAAATAGCCCTAAACATGCACAGGCTAATTAACAGGAAATTCCAGCTTAAATGAAAAAAGAAAAACTGTCATCACAGCAATATATAGGCCGCTGTTAATGGCCTGGAATAGAAATAGCATTGCCATAAGGAATCCTGACTGTTCTCCTTAATTAATCTGCTGTATGATTGTTCTGGGTCTGTGACCCCAACCTATTGAAGCCAAACACAGCCAAGAAACTAGCAATTTCACAAGGTAGTCAGAAATGGCAGCCCCCATATGCCTTTAATGTCTAATGTACTTTAAAGCTGAACTCTGGGCTGATGTAAAATTTAACCACGTAGTGCCCCCATCCCCCCACTCCACGGGTTGAAATCTTGTTTTGTCTAGGGGGATTGGAATAAGAAACAGTACTTACCTTATTTCTCTGTTTTGTCTGTGATGACATTGGAGGGCTTGCAGCTGGCAGACATAAAAAGCTACTCACATGTTAGCATAGTGAAAGCTCCATAGGAAGACCAACTAGCTGATGCCAGTGCATTGTTCCATACTGCTGATTAGCTCAGATTGTTTGTCACATGTTCTTGACCAAGTATTTCTTTCTGTGCGAGTTTATGATGTGCTAGCTCTGTAGAAGGGGGGATTTCTCCCAAAACGCAATAGCTGGTTGGTCTTCTCTGGGACCTGCTGTGTAACTTATTGTGCATTCCCTATGCTAACATGTGAGTAGCTTTTTATGTCATTTTATTTACTCCATTTAAATAAACGTTATCCTACGAGGAGAAGGCGCTGTCTGCTTTATTTATTTTGCATGTCTTGTAAGGATACTTCCCAGTGGCCTTATCGACGGCAGCCTATCCTCCAACGGTTGGTGATGAAGAATCTCTAAGTTGAGGTCAGCTGAGTGCTGACCTCAACTCAGAGTACAGACTCAACTGGAAGTACAGACTTAATTTAGTATCACTTGTGGCATGCTTGTTTCAGGTCAGTGATTTAGAGCCTTGGTTCTCAACTGGTGGGTCGTGACCCAAAAGTGAGTCGTGACCCCATGTTCAGTGGGTCACCACGTGCCTTCCACTTTTCTAGGTGAGAGGCTTCTCAGCCTCCCCCTAGCGCAGCACTGTCAGTTCTCGCGCCAAGCAGCCATTCAGAATATGCTGCCCAGCGTTGAGTGTCAGCTTGAAGTGTGATAGTATGGGCTATGGCCGCGAGGGAGCTCCATCAATACGTGCATTGCTTACAGCTCCCTCATGTGTCCTGTAGAGGTGCCTGGACCAGAGTAATGCACTGTACCACACAATCACACCTACTGCACGCTCTGGTGTTGGAGGTATGTTGCATTGCCATTCATTTGAATGGTGCCCCAAATGCACCTCCCGCCCACAGTTCTATCGCCCACACTGGAACGCGCCGTACCGCAATGCCGTGCAGTCCATTGCAGTGCGACTTGGGTCGCGACTTAATGACCAAGGACAAATGTGAGTCCTGAGGTTACACAGGGTGAGAACCACTGATTTAGAGAATATTGAAATCAGAGGACCAATAGGACAAACAGGCAGCTAGTATTTTCAGGAGATCACAGATAGTCCATTATTTCTCTCAACACATGTTTACTTTAAGGTAAATTGAGTAAATGTTCTGAATTTAGGATTAGCAGTTCACTGATTGGTTTCATTTGATATCTGGAATTACAGTGGGTGTACATTCCAGTGCCTTGTAGCTGTTAGCTTGCTTATTGGCGCAGTTCATTCTTTATATGATATCTGGAATTGCTGCTCAACTTTATTGTTTTGGTATGTGTTTTATCATTTGTATGCAAGTGGCAACTCTAATGGTAGATTTGGCTGTTTAACATAATCTGTAGATAGTTTCTTATTTACTGCTGGTGCTTATTCACTGCCACTGCTGGTCAAATTATAATCTGCAACAAATAGATATCTACTGACCAGGTTATAGCATCCTTACTATTCTGCACTGACCTTGATAGTCGTAGGTGCGCCTTCATTCTCTCTATAATGAATATTGGGACCACACATCATTGGAGGACCAGAAAAGTATGTAAGTGAATGGAGGTGAACTGAGGTGCAATGGCAGCTGTCAAACTCAGCACAGCTTAGCAGTAGCAACAGCAACATTGTTTTAAGACTTGTAAGTACATGCACTCAAGAGATTACCATTATTGGTCTTTTTTTGTGCATACTAACTGCACAGTGACTCAACACAAGATCCTGCTGTTCAGTGCATTGGCCAATTTGAGTAGTTTACCAGGCAGCCAAATTGCATTTTGTGTGGTCAGTTTGAGAATTAAGCAGAGAATTTGTGCTATCTTTTTAACAGATCTCAGATTAGTTGATATCTAGTAATAGCCGGACCTCCAAGTTAGTTAGGAAACACATTCTAATCTATGCCTTGCACTTCCTTCTCTGCAATAAATGTCACTCAATAAGTAGTCTTATAGACTTTCTTCACCTAACAGTTGCTTTCCTTTGCTTCTAAGTTATTTCCATGATGCAATTAAATGAGCTACTTTCCTTCTCACAGTTTTGTAATTGAGTTTCATCTGCCGATACCTGTGTCAGTTAAGGTGCCCATCCTCAAAAACCCGGCTGAAATTCGCACAGTGTGTGCCACTGTCGGCACCCTTTCAATCGTCATCCCTCAATCAGCTGATCGAATTAGCTGGTTCTAAAATCTTCACTTGATCAGAGCCGGCAGCAAATGAGCTGCCCACTCTGATTGGGTAGTCTGACAGATGGTGGCGGCATCCGTCAGAATACAATGTAAACAGCGGGATTCCTCGATCGGCACGCTGTTAATGGAGGAATTGGGTACATTTTGTTTGTTCAGCCTGTGGGTTGAACGAAAAAAATAGATCAGTGTATAGCCAGCTATACTTGTATGATTGGCAAAGACAAAACAGTAAAGAAGAAAGGTGTTTTGCAGATGAATAGCTATGGAAAAGTTTTGAAGGGTTACATTGAACTGTTTTAATAGATAATTTAGTTAGAATGGAAAATGTCTGGCAGTCAAATCTAGTCAGCAAGCAATTAAGTGTCCTACTGAATTATTGCATCAGTGGGGTATGTTCACTGCAAGCCCTTAATCTAACTAAAGTCTGTGTGGTACCAGTAGCTTCTTGTTAACTGACATGCTAGATATTTTCTTAGCTAAATTTGTCTGCTTCTAGGCATGTTGGCATTTGAGCAAATGTCATATATTTTAGCATATTTCTAATTTTCATATAATCTTTCCTGCAACATAGTTAGAAATGGCAATGGAGGCATCCCCATACAAAACTCAGGATATCAGAAACAGTTTAAGAAGTCCAGTAAACAAATAAGAATATATTGACTTCCTGGAACCCTAATGGTAACCCTCACCATAACTGACACTAACCATTGTGGTGCACTGCATTAAAAAAAATGGGTCATGTCCCTGCAAGGACAACGTAACTGCAGCCGAGCCATTTGCCTTGTTTACAATCAATACAGTCCACGCCACTGCCATGCTTAAGTGTGCACTGAAAAAAGCACTGCATGCAGTATTTTATTGCGGTGCATCGTGGTGCGATGCAATTTACCGAATTGCACTGCACTAAAGCTGATAGAATTGAATGAAATGCCACATGTTAATTTTCAGTAAAGTTCTGACAAAAAGGTTACAGTGCAATGTACTGTTTCCAGTGCATCGGCACGGCTGCCTTCACAGCACACCAGCGGCTGCATCCTAACCTTGCTGCTGGTGTAAATGGGCTCTCAGTGAAGTTGTAAATTAATGCCATCCTTCTTAGTGCAGATCGCATGGTGAAATGTGTACCTGCGCTCCCTAGAGTTTTACTGTGTAGACCTGCCTGGCGCCACACAGCCTTTGCGAACAAAACTTACTGGCAGGGTCTTCTTGCTAGTGCACATGAACACTGCCACTGCATTAATTTCTACAGATGTTCTGTGGTTGGGCCAAAACGCTCATGTATACTAGGAGGAGGACCTGACATGGGACATTTTACTGGCAAAGACTGTGCGGTGCTGAGCAGGGCCACATAGTGAACATCTCAGAAGCAGGGAAAAGGGTACATATATCACCATATGGCTTCAGAGAGAGATGTGAAGCGATTTAATTAAAGGACAATGTCACAAAAAGTAAGGTTGCCCATTAAAGAGTACTTGTAAAGATATAAATGTGGCTTCTGCCCCGCTGGCTTAATTTTAAAGCTGCAGGCATAGAGAGATGTTTCTGAATGTGCCTTCCCTGCCTAGCGAGTCACTAACTGGGAGCAAGTATTCATATTTTCAATAATCGATTATAGTCGATTAGTTGTTGCAGCCCTAATTTCACTGTCTGCATGCTTGATCCAAATCAGTGAATTACTCAATAGGGAAATCAGATTAAAGATACCAGCTAAAAAGCCAGCATCTTTGAAATCAAGCCAGCAATGACAGCTTCCATGTAACTCTCCTGAAGATGGCCATGCACAACTCAAATTTTATCAAATTTCTGCCATATCGGACAACATTGGAGCCATGTGCAGCCCCGTCCACACCACCTGGAAAATTGTCAGCTGTACAGTGACTGCATGCAATAAGATGCAGTCAATGTTTGGTTATTCAGGCAGCTGTGGGCACTAACTGTCTAAACACAACTGACATCAGAGGAGATTCCTCCATCTTGACTGTTTAGCATTAAAGTGGCATTAAAGTCAAATTATTTTTCCCTCCCCCCAATGTTAATGTTAGCACTTACCTTAAATGATCTCTCTTAATCCGATCTTCTTCTTTCCTGATTTTTCATCTGTCCCTGCGGCGGCTCTCCGATCCAGCCCTGACTCCTCTGTCCTTGCTGGTACTTCCTGTCCCACGATGTCTGCATGCGGGTGCA